TGGGGGGCGCGGCGGGGAGGGGAGGGGGGCGACTCTCCACCGAAGGGGCGTCCGGGCGTCCACCCTCCCTCCTCCCGAGGGCTGGAAGCTGACAGGCCAACCGTCCGGGGCCCGCCCCGCCTACACAGGTGGCCGGACTACAACTCCCATCATCCGCAACCCACGTTAGCGGGGGGCCGGGGGTGCAGTCCAGCCCTTCGCCTCCACCCCCAGGGAACAGGGAATGACATTTCATCTCCCCCTCCCATTCACACACACACACACCACCCCGGAAGGAAGATGGGTTATGTTATGTCATCTCTCTGCGGGCTGAGGATGATGGAACTCAGGCCGGGGGCCTCTCGAGAGCGTGTGGTCGAGCCCAGAGGCCGGGGATAATAATAATAATAATAATAATAATTAATATTATTATTATTATTATTAATAATAATAATAATAATAAAGTTGGAAGGGACCTTAGAGGTCATCTACTCCAACCCCCTGCTCAGGCAGGAAACCCTGTACCATTTCAGACAAACGGTTGTCCAGTCTCTTCTTAAAGACCAGGGGACTTAATTATTATTATTAATGATGATGATGATGATGATGTTGGAAGGGACCTTGGAGGTCATCTAGTCCAGGACTTTTCAATCTTTTCACCCATTGTACCACTTTTAGGATATGGCAATATCCGAGGACCACCAGTCGCCTAGCAAGGTGTCAAAAACTTGACCCCCCCAAAAAAGGAAAAAGGTGATAAAGTACAGGTAGTCCTCGACTTACAACAGTTCACTTAGTGACTGTTCGAAGTTACAAGGGCACTGAAAAAAGTGCCCCCCAAAGCACAGCCGAGCAAGACACCTGCCTGCCCACCCGGCCGCGCTCTTCCTCCTGTCCGAGGCTTTCATTGTTGTGAGCATTTCTGTTGAGGATTGGCAGCGGGGGTGGGGTGGGGGGTGTTTGGTTTTTATTCCCCCCGTCTGCTGGGTGGTTGCAGCAGGTTTTGGTCCCTTCACATGACCCTGGGACACTGTGACCGTCATAAATATGAATCAGTTGCCAAGCCTCTGAATGTAAATCACAAGACCCTGGAGAGGCTGCAACATTCCAGCTGATTGGTGCTTCTTCTGGGCTCAGCAGAAGTGTCAGGATCAGCGCTGTGCTCCAGCTGGATCCTGGCGCTGATCCTGGTGCTTCCACTGATCCCTGACAGCCCCGAAGAAGCTCTGATCAGCTGGAAAGCGGCACTGATCCTGGGGCTTCCGCTGAGCCCTGACAGCCCTGCAGCTCCAGCCGTCTCTCGCTCAGGCTTGTGCGGTGCTGCCACCGGTTCAGCTCATTCCCCTCCCCCGCTACCACTTTTCTAGGGTGGTCGCGTACCACCTGCCAGGTGCCAATGTAGTACAGGTGGTACCCGTACCACTGGTTGAAAAGCCCTGATCTAGTCCAACCCCCTGCTCAGGCAGGATGGGGGTGGAGCGGCTGAAGGAAGGCCCCCTCCCCACCCAACCCTTGAGGGGTGTGTGTGCAGGGGCTGGAGAGAGGGTCGTGGCAGGGCATAAAACAACTGGGCTATTTCGGGGCTGAGGGGTCCCTGGGTTGAGGAAGGGTCTCTGGGCTGCGGAAGAGTCTCCAAAGGTGTGGGAGGGGGCTGCCCGAGGGAGCAGCAGTGTCCTCTCCCACTCTGAGAGGGGGAAAAAAAAAGTGGGAGCTCAGAGGTAGACTGCTCCTGGACATGGAGGTTCTTTTCTGCTGAAGGTGCTGCGAGAGGCAGCCTGATGAAACCTGCCTTGCCAGAACGAAGGACGAACAGTGCTCAGCAACAGGAGCGGGAGAGCCTCTGCAAATTTCCGTAGGAATCGGACCGGGGGGGGGAATCTGGGGCGCAAAGGACAATTCTGACGGATCCGAGAATCTTCTCCCGACACCTCAGAAGACAGATCCCAAAAAAGTGATTCGGGTGCACGGTGTTGGCAAAGCTGATTTTACACCTAGGCATTCGGGCCACTTAGATATGCGTTGTGTTAATCGGCTGTTTCTCAACCTTGGCAACTTTTGTCATATGTGGACTTCAGTTCTCAATGCCCACTCATCTTAAAGCAGGCTGGCTGGGGAATTCTGGGAGTGGAAGTCCCCCCATCTTCAAGAAAGCAGGCTGGGGAATTCTGGGAGTGGAAGCCCACCCCTCTTAAAGCATGCTGGCTGAGGAATTCTGGGAGTGGGAATCCACCCCTCTTAAAGCATGTTGGCTGAGGAATTCTGGGAGTGGAAGTCCACCCCTCTTAAAACAGGCTGGCCAGGGGATTCTGGGAGTGAAAGTCCCCCCCATCTTCAAGAAAGCAGGCTAGGGAATTCTGGGAGTGGAAGTCCACCCTTCTTAAAGCATGCTGGGGTTGGACTACATGACCTCCAAGGTACCTTCTAATTTTATTATTATTATATGACAGTTGCAGCGTCCGGGGTCATGTGATCCCCTTTTGTGACCTTCATTGCTGGCTTCCGAAAGCAAAGTCAGTGGAGGAAGCCAGATTCGCTTAACGACCGCCCGATTCACTTAACAACCGCAGCGGTTTGCTTATCCCCTTCGGCCAAAAGGCAAAAAGATCCATAAATCAGGGCAAAGCAAATGCTGGCTGGGGAATTCTGGGAGTTGAAGTCCAGTTAAGTCTTCAAAGTAGCAAAGAATTTCCAGAAGTGATTTCAACCAATTTTGTTGGTGAACCTGGAGAGTTGCAGGGATGGAGAAGAAAGCAGACGGGCAGCGAAGCATCAATTTTTCTTTCTGTTCTTTCGGCAGACCTAAGGAAGCAGGCCCGGCAACTGGAAAACGAACTGGACCTCAAACTGGTCTCCTTTAGTAAATTGTGCACCAGCTACAGCCACGGCAGTTCTCAGGATGGAAGGCGCGACAGGTATAGGTAGTATCACTGCTACTTCATTCGATTATTTTTTTTTCATTGCAAAAAGGCAATTTTTCATTTTTTTTCCCATGCCCGACAGCCCGCTTTCTTCATTTGCTTCGGTTTTGCGCTTCTGGACCTTTGAAATGTTTAAATGTCAGGATTGAGGGAGTCTCGCTTGGGAAATTCTTAGAACATTAGAATTAGAATATAGAATAGAATAGAATAGAATAGAATAGAATAGAATAGAATAGAATAGAATAGAATAGAATAGAATAGAATAGAATAGAATAGAATAGAAAATATGGAATAGAATAGAATAGAATAGAATAGAATAGAATAGAATAGAATAGAATAGAATAGAATAGAATAGAATAGAATAGAAAATATTGAATGGAATAGAAAATTTGGAATGGAATAGAATAATAGAAGAGAAGAGAATAGAAGAGAAGCTGGAAGAGATCTTGAAGGTTATCTAATCCAACCCCCTGCCCAAGCAGGAGAGTCTATACCATTTCATATAAACTATAGAATAGAATAGAATAGAATAGAATAGAATAGAATAGAATAGAATAGAATAGAATAGAAAATATGGAATGGAATAGAATAGAAAATATGGAATGGAATGGAATAATAGAATAGAAGAGAAGCTGGAAGGGACCTTGAAGGTCATCTAGTCCAACCCCCTGCCCAAGCAGGAGAGCCTATACCATTTCAGATAAACTAGAATAGAATGGAATGGAATGGAATGGAATAGAATGGAATAGAATAGAATAGAATAGAATAGAATAGAATAGAATAGAATAGAATAGAGCTGGAAGAGACCTTGGAGGCCTTCTAGTCCAGCCCCCTGCTCAAGCAGGAGAAGAGGCAGCCCGAAGGAGCAAATAAGGTCTTGGGGGAGTATAAACCTTTCCTCAATGCAGGCCTACATTTGCAGCCGACGCGCAACTATTTTTACTTATTTAAATTTATTAAGTTTTGCAAATATTTGCAAGCATGCGCTATATTGAGGTGTCTTGATCCTCCAGCAAGTTTGAATAATTGTAGTGACTTGAAAATGAAATAAATGAGAGCCGGTTTGGTGGAGGGGTTAAGGTGCTGGTCTAGAAAGCAGGAGGCGGTGAGTTCTAGTCCCGCCTTAGGCATGAAAGGCAGCTGAGTGACTTTGATCAAATCATCAGTGGATGGGAGTACTAGTCCCGCCTTAAGCATCAAAGCCGGTTGGGTGACTTTGGGCCAGTTACCAGGAGGCTGTGAGTTCTAGTCCCGTCTTAGGGATGAAAGCCGGCTAGGTGACTTTGGGCCAATCACCAGGAGGCTGTGAGTACTAATCCCACCTTAAGCATAAAAGACAGCTGGGTGACTTTGGGCCAATCACCAGGAGACGGTGAGTTCTAGTCCCGCCTTAAGCATAAAAGCTGGTTGGGTGACTTTGGGCCAATCACCAGGAGGCTGTGAGTTCTAGTCCTGCCTTAGGGATGAAAGCCAGCTAAGTGACTTAGGGCCCATCCCTCTCTGTTAGCCCAACCTGCCTCACAGGGTTGTTGTGGGGAAACTCGGAGGAGGAAGGAGCATGACCTCCGTCCGCTGCCTTGAATTACTTACGTAATAATCAAGACGGGATAAGGAAAATGTAATAAGTAAAGGTGAGCGAAGATTTCACGCCCCGGGTTAAAATTTAATGGAACGCTACCTCTTGTGTCGCTCATTCCTCCAGCTCGGACACAACGCCTCTCCTGAACGGATCGAGCCAAGACCGGATGTTCGAAGCCATGGCCGTGGAAATTGAGCAGCTCTTAGGGAAGGTAAGAGGGACGTCCCGGTTAAAACATGGAAGGGGCTTTCAAGGAAGGCCGGAATGACTTGTCCACGGAGTTTCTCAGCCATCCAGGTCATACTTGTCCCAGAGGGGTTTTTTTCAGGAGACCACTGGACTTCCTTGTTTTTCCTGTCTGACTGGGGAATTCTGGGAGTGGAAGACCACCCCTCTTAAAGCAGGCCGGCTGGGGTATTCTGGGAGTGGACGTCCACCCCTCTTAAAGCAGGCCGGCTGGGGAATTCTGGGAATTGAAGTCCACCCCTCTTAAAGCATGCTGGTTGGGGGATTCTGGGAGTTAAAATCCACCCCTCTTAAAGCATACTGGCTAGGGAATTCTGGGAATTGAAGTCCACCCCTCTTAAAGCATGCTGGTTGGGGGATTCTGGGAGTGGAAGTCCACCCTTCTTAAAGCATGCTGGTTGGGGGATTCTGGGAGTTAAAATCCACCCCTCTTAAAGCAGGNTATGTCTGGCGAAGAAAACTTTTGCTGTTAACCATCTCCATATATCTGAGGCGTCCTGTAAAGTTTGCGGCTTGCTGAATTGTTCGACACAGATCCACGCAGCTCTCGTCTCAAAAAGCCCTAATGTCTCGTTCTCTCTGTTGCAGCTGACCGGGGTCAACGACAAAATGGCGGAGTACACCAACAGCGCCGGCGTCCCCTCCCTCAACGCGGCTCTGATGCACACCCTGCAACGGCACAGAGACATCTTACAGGTAAGGCCGTCTCCCCTGAACGTGGGGCTTCCTCCCCTATTTACAGGCAGTCCTCGACTTATGACCACAGGGGAGCCCAAAATTTCCATCGCTAAGCGAGACGTTTGTGAAGTGAGTTTTGCCCCGTTTTACCACCTTCCTTGCCACTGTTGTTAAAGTGAATCCCTGCCATTGTTAAGTCAGTCACACGGTCGTTAAGCAAATCCAGCTTCCCCCCCATTGATTTTGCTTGTCGGAAGGTCGCAAAAGGGGATCACGTCACCCCTCTGGGGACGCTGTGACCGTCATAAATACGAGCCAATTGCCAAGCGTCTGTGTTTTGATTACGTGACCCTTGCTACAACGGTCGTAAGTGTGAGAAATGGCCCTCAGTCGGTTTTTCTCGGTGCCGTTGTAACTTTGAACGGTCACTAAATAGACTGTTGTAGCTTGAGGACTCCCTCGTATTGGCTGAACCTTTTCTAGTTAGAGCTTAATAATAATAATAATAATAATAATAATAATAATAATAATAATAATAATAATGATGATGATGATGATGATGTTGCAAGGGACCTTGGAGGTCATCTAGTCAACCCCCTGCTCAGACAGGAAACCCTATTCCATTCAGACCAATGGCTGTCCAGTCTCTTCTTAAAAACTTCCAGTGTTGGAGCATTCACCGCTTCTGGAGGCAGGTTGTTAATAATAATAATAAAGTTGGAAGGGACCTTGGAGGTCATCTAGTCCAACCCCCTGCTCAGGCAGGAAACCCTATACCATTTCGGACAAATGGCTGTCCAGTCTCTTCTTAAAAACTTCCAGTGTTGGAGCATTCACCGCTTCTGGAGGCAAGGAGTTCCACTGGTTAATTGTTCTAACTGTCAGGAAGTTTCTCCTTAGTTCTAGGTTGCTTCTCTCCTTGGTTAGTTTCCATCCGTTGCTTCTTCTCCTGCCTTCAGCCGCTTTGGAGAATAGCTTGACTCCCTCTTCTTTGGGGCAGCCCCTGAGATATTGGGACCAGACTTTCCATTGCTAAGTGAGGCGGTTGTTAACCGAGTCGAGCCTGATTTGATGACCTTTTTGGGACCACGGGGGTTAAGTCAATCAGCCAGTCCAGCTTTCCCCATGGACCCTGCAACCTTGGTAAATACATGCCGGTTGCCAACTGCCCGAACTCTGATAAAGTGGGCGATGCTGTGATGTCTGTAAGTGTGACCTGTGGTCACAGATCCCTTTTTTCGGTGTCCTAGTAGAGAGGTCCCCAACCTATGAGCCATGGCCCACTAATGGTCCGTGGCCTCTTGGCCACCGGGCCACGTGAATAGCTGTGCTCAACCCCCCTCGTGCCACTGTTGCCACGAGCGTTGTGTGGGCGGTGGCAGCGCCGCTAGTATCGTGCAGGCAGCAGCCTTGCCACGAAACCTGCATGGGGGGGGCGGCAGTGCCATGGGCAGCATGTGGGCCGCGGAACGACCGTCACCTGGGGGGGAGCGGTGTGAGCCTCGCGCCGGTGGTAGCATGGCTGTGAGCCTGGCAGCGGCGCCACAAGCCACACACAGGTGCCGCCATCGCCGAGAGCCTTGCGCGCATGCTGGCAGCCCCGTTTGTGTGGTGCGCATGCTCGCAGCCTGTTTATAAGCACGCGCACGTGTGGCCACGTTCACGTTTGCGCCTGTACATGTCAGGCGGCTGCCCCTCCCTCTCCCAAAAGATTGTCCTAGTAAGTTCTAATGGGCATTGAAGAAGTAGTTGTAAGTTGAGGACTTAGTCATTCCAACGTGACGTCAACTAATGGGGGTTGGACTAGATGACCACCAAGGTCCCTTCCAACTTTATTATAATTATAATGCAGGACTTTTGCAACCCCAGGCTTTTGTGAATCGGGTGCAAATCATCAGCCACCTTTTCCAGGGTGGGCAGGCATTGAAGCAGAGCCTCTGGGAAGCATTTTGGAGGCCCACTCTGTCATTTGGTTCTGCCTCTGTAACCCTTAGGCCTGCTTGTCGACGCAGCCTGGATGATTCTCCCAATGGTAGCTCCAAGATCTCAAGAACTTTTCACACTGGAGCATGGTGTATGTTTACCGGAAGTATCTTTTAGGGCAGGGATGTCCAACCTTGGAAACTTTTAAGATTTGTGGACTTCAACTCCCAGAATTCCCCAGCATGAGTTGAAGTCCACAAGTCTTGAATTGGCCATGTCTGGAAGCTAGAGCATTCTGGGAATTGAAGTCCACAAGTCTTAAAGTGGTCAGGTTTGGAAGGCTGGGGAATTCTGGGAGTTGAAGTCCACACGTCTTAAAATGGTCAGGTTTGGAAGACTGGGGGATTCTGGGAATTGAAGTCCTTCCAATTAAAGTGGTCAGGTTTGGAAGGCTGGGGAATTCTGGGAGTTGAAGTCCACAAGTGTTACATTCCCCAAGGTTGGAGACCCTTACTTTAGTGCCTCTTGATCTCCCCTTTAAAGGATCGTAACAATATTTGGACTTCAACCTGGCTGACATTGACGGTTGAGGGCGGCAAATTCTCTTTTCAGCTCTTAGACCTCTAACCAGCTGGAGTCATTTTGCATTTTTCACAACAGGATTACACCCACGAATTCCACAAAACCAAAACCAACTTCGTGGCAGTGCGGGAAAGAGAGAATCTTATGGGATCGGTCCGGAAAGATATTGAGTAAGTTGTTAATTTTTTATTCTCATCATTATCATCATCGTTGTCGCCATCATCATCATCATATTATTATTACTATTACTATTACTATTATTATTATTATTATTATTATTATTATTATTATTATTATTATTATTATTATTATTATTATTATTGAATATTTGTAGCTCAGGGTTGAAGTGAGGGATCCTTGGTGCTCTCTGAGCTTGCTTCTTTTCTTGCAGACGTTTCATAACCCAACTAGGTAGCATCATCAGTGCTAGAAGGGGGAGGAGGAGGAGGAGGAGGAGGAGGAGAATGACGACGACTGGCTGTTTTCTTGCAGACGTTTCATAACCCAATTAGGTAGCAGCATCAGTGCTAGAAGGGGGAGGAGAAGGAGGAGGAGGGCAGCTGTGGGGTCCTTGGTGCTCTCTGAGCTGGATGGTTTCCTTGCAGATGTTTCATGACCTAATTAAGTAACATCATCAGTGCTACAATGGAGGGAGGGTTTAGGAGGAGGAGGAAGAGGACAACTGGATGTTTTCTTGCAGACGTTTCATAACTCAACTAGGTAGCATCATCAGTGCTAGAAGGGGGGAGGAAGAGGACGACGACTGAGGGATCCTTGGATGTTTTCTTGCAGACGTTTCATAACCCAACTAAGTAGCATCATCACTGCTAGTCCTGATGATGTTACCTAGCTGGGTAATGAAACGTCTGCAAGAAAACAAGCAAGCTCAGAGAGCACCAAGGACCCATTATTACAATTATTATTATTGTTGATATTATTATGGTTATTATTATTGCAAGTAGTCCTCAGTTTATAACAGTTCATTTAGTTACCATTTGAAGTTACAATGGGCACAGGGAAAAGTGCCAATCTTACGGGACATCTGTCTTTCATGCTCTGTCAGTGAAGGCTTTACTAAATGCAGGTGGTGAGGCCTGTTGCCACGGTTATTAAGGGAATCCCTGTATTGTAGTGGTAATAATATAATAATAATAACGACGGCGATGATGATGATGATAATAATAATTTAATAAATCCAAATTTAAAAATAAATCTAAGTTTGATCATGTGACCGTGGGGAACGCTACAACGCTTGTAAGGTCATAATTCACTTTTGTAACTTCAGTTGGTCAGTAAAACCATTGTAAATCAAGGGATAATAATAATAATAATCCGGGTCAACCATCAGCGCCAATCAATTTGAATGTTCAGTTGACTGAGGTTCACGTCTAATGAATAATAATAATAAAATTAATAAATGCGAATTTAAAAATAAATCCGAATTTTCGTCACGTGAGCGTGGGGATGCTGCAGTGGTCGTAAGTGTGAAAAACGGTCATAAGTCACTTTTACTTCATTGCCATCGTAACTTCGAACGGTCACTAAGGAGAAACTTCCTGACAGGACAATCAACCAGTGGAACAGCTTGCCACCAGAAATCGTGGGCGCTCCATCACTGGAGATTTTTAAGAAGAGGCTAGATCAGGGGTAGGCAACCTTGGCTCTTTTATGACTCGTGGACTTCAACTCCCAGAATTCCTGAGCCAGCATGGGGGAACTATGGCCCCTTCATGACTTGTGGACTTCAACTCCCAGAATTCCTGAGCCAGCATGGGGGAACTATGGCCCCCTTCATGACTCGTGGACTTCAACTCCCAGAATTCCT